ACGACGTTGGTGGCGACCATATGGTGCCAGAGATGAACCCTGGGCCCCTTGTTTGCAAAGCCTGTAGTGCTGCTCACTGAGCTCTCTCCCTACTTCTATACTAACTTCGAAGCAGACAGCCCACCGCTCCCAACATGCTGCTCCCGTATAAAAAGAAATGCGCTGGTCTGTGCCGTCCATATGGTGGCCACTGCCTGGGGGTGTGTAAGCATGTGACAAGACCATGAAAAAAAATATGGGTCTAGGGAGGTGCGGGGGGAGGTGATGAAGAGCTACGACAGGGGTTACATCTGGCCTGCACCCCGCACACCTCAGTTTGAACACCCAGCACCACATATGGTCCACCAGGCACAGGGGAGAAATAGCCACTGAGCACCACCGGGTGTGGCCCCCAAACCTTAAAAACATCCCACAATAACCGCAAACACTTGCAAAACTCATCAGCCCAGGGATTAGCACAGGGCTTGATTCTTGGCGCCAGATGGCATCCTGAGCATTGCTGTGTATAGCCAGGAAGCAACCAATACTGCTGGTACGGCCCTCTGGGCCCCAGCACTGACCACTACTAGCCTGGTGGTCCAATAATCAGAGTGGCCCCTAGGCCCCACAGCACAGGAGGCCCAAACCCCCAACCACCAAAAATTACAAAAATACAAAGTCTTACCAGCCCACATATGGCGTTAGTCAATTTATTGAATCTTTTGCTTCTGAAGTTACTTGTAGAATCATCTAATAACGAATACATGTCTGGAGCTAGAAACCTTTAAACATGAGAGACTGGTGAATGAAAGAATCCTAAACACTAAATTTGTAGACTGACAATCGAAGTGAAACGAAAAAGGTTCAGCACTGCAAAGGAGACCTTAATTATAGTGAACTTACTTCTCAATTTCCTTTTCAGCTCTTTTACTCAGCAGGTCCATTTTGGTCATGATGTTAACTTGCGGGATTTCTAGAGATACCATAGCACTCAAGGCTGCCAAGATGCCAGAAATAAGCTGAAAGGGGAAGCAGAAAAGGGACAATGAATTAGTGTCACCAACAGTGTCCACATAAAAGGTTTCTGATCCCCACTGGAACAAAACCCACCTAAATACGACAAACGCTAAGATTGGGGCCCGAGCAAGAGTCCAGGCTTTAAGGCGCTTGCCTTGCGCCTGGTCAGCCCAGGTTCTAGCCCAGCACTCCACAGGGTTCCCAGAGCACTACCTAAGTGATTCCTCAGCCCAGCGCCAGTAGTGAGCCCTGAGCACTGCCAGGCATGGCCGAACAGAAGACTGCTGGGCCAAAAGTTGACCTTAGGATTCTAAAGGTGAGATGGGAAGGAGAAACTCGAGCTGTAGTGACCACACTTGTCCACTCAACAATATTTTAAAGTGTTCAGGAGGTAGCTGGGGTTGAGTTCAGCACTGAGGAAACATGTAGTGACAGGGATTAAAAGCAGGGGGGCCACATCACGGCGAGCTCCTTAAGCCCTGTACTATTTTTTTGGGGGGGGGTAATTACTGGCAATGCACAGGGGTTACTCCCAGCTTTGCACTCAGAAATTACTCCTAGTGGTGCTCAGGGATGCTAGGAATCGAACCCGGATTGGCTGGATGCAAGGCTCTACCGGCTATATTATCACTCCAGCCCCCATTTTTTAAAATTTACTTATTTATTTATTTTTGGGAAGCGCTTTACTATTTCTGACCCTTTAACGTTATCTTCTCTCATGCTCGCTCTCCACCTCTCCTGATGGGTGTTTCCTTTTGGGTTTCTGGGTCACACAATCCCCTGATATTACTAAGGGGTCACTTCTGCTTCTGTACTCAGGAATTACTCCTCAGCAGCTTGGGGAACCACCTGGAGTGCTGGAGACAGAACCAAACGGCCTCCCTTTCAGTTTTGGGGAATACCCAGTAGTACTCTGAGCTTTGTGGTCAAGGATCACTCCTGGAGGGGCTCGGGGGCCCGGTGGCAGTATGGCAGGAATGACACCCAGACTGGCCACATGCAAGGCAAGAGCTCTACCCACTGTACTATCTCTCTAGCATCCAGCTTTTTTTTTTCTAGTTTTGGAGCCTCTTGGGACTTACTGTGGTGCTTGGGACTTACTTCTGACACCGCCCTGGGACGACTCCTGAAGGTGACAGCTGAGAGTTGGGACCACTGGAACTACACTGAACAGTGAACAAGGGGCAAACTCAGGCCCTCAAACATGCAGGCTCTGTGCTCTGCCATCTTCTTAGCATATTAATTTAACAAACATAAGTTTCAAGTCACTCCTGGGTATAGTTCATGAACTGTTAACAATTAAACGATTATGACTAAAGGTATTTGTACACTGCTTGTGCCGGAGACTAAAAATCAAGGACAGGTATAGTTTCAAACCTTGAACGACTCCACCATGAATTGAGAATCAACAAGAAACACTCCACAGACTCGGAACTCCCACTGTTCCAGCTGCTGAACCAGCTGTTTCATCACGTGCAGGTTTGTGTACAACTCGATCTGACCGCCAAGAACACAAGCTTATTATGAGCATGAAATAAATTCAACCCTCAATTATGGGATAAAAACTTTTCCCAGAAACTGTCTTTGGGGGCTTGAGAGATAGTATAGAGGGTGGGAACTTGCCTTGCACACAGCCAACCTGGGTTCGATCCCATAGGGTCCCTTGAGCATAGCCAGGAGTAATTCCTGAGCACAGGAGCTAGGAGTAACCCTGAGCATCATCAGATATGGCACCCGCGGCCCCCCCCCCAAAATTTTTTTAAAGGAAGTCAATCCCTACAAGTAATATATCCAATTTTGCTTGTTTTAAGCCGCACGTGGGGATGCTTGAGGGTCTCTCTGAAACTTCTGGGAGGGCTCGAAGCTACTCAGAGTCCTACATGCAAGGCCTACTACATGCAAGACCCACTACATGTAAAGTATGTCCCCAGCACACTATATCTCTAGGCCCTATACTATAATCAATTTTTGTGTTTTTTTTTTGGGTGGGGGACAACCTGATAGTGCTCAGGGCTTATTCCTGATTCTGTGCTCAGGGATGACTGTTGACAGACTCCAGTAACCATATAGGGTAGCAGGGATCACCTTAGCTGTGTTCAAGGCAAGTGCCCTACCTACTGTAGTATCTCTCTGGGTCCCCCAATATTTTGTTTTTCATTTTGGGTCACACCTGGCGATGCGCAGGGGTTACTTCTGGCACTGAATTCAGGAATTACTCCTGGCAGTGCTCAGGGGACCATATGGGATGCTGGGGTTCCGGGTCAGCTGCATGCAAGGCAAACGCCAAACCCATTGTACTATCACACCAGCTAACCTTGCACCCCACGGAATTTTTTAAGCAACTCTGGGTGCACATGTATAAAAGGGGCATACAAAGAAAATATACTGTCATCATCATCATCACTGGGCCTCATCGATTTGTTCGAGCAGGCCCAGTAACATCTCCATTGTGACAATTGTTCCTGTATTTGGCATATCGAATATGTCACGAGGAGCTTGCCAGGCTCTGTTGTGCAGGTGATACTCTTCGGTAGCTTGCCGGGCTCTCTAGGAGGGGCAGAGGAATCGAACCCGAGTCGGCCATGTTGGCTGGTTGCACTACAATTATTAAAAATGAGTTTAAAACGGGCTGGAGTGATAGCTCAGTGGTAGGGCATTTTCCATGCACGCAGCAGTCCCGGCCAAACAGGGTTCAACTCCTCTGCCCCTCTCGGAGAGCCCGGCAAGCTACCGAGAAGATCTTGACCACATGGCAAAGCCTGTCAAGCTACCTGTGACGTATTCGATATGACAAAGACAGTAACAACAAGTCTCACGATGGAGAAGTTACTGGGCCTGCTCAAGCAAATCAATGAACAGCGGGAGGACAGCCACAGGGATTTCATTTATTTATTTATTTACTATTATTATTATTATTATTATTATTTTGCTTTTTGGGTCACACCCGGAGATGCTCAGGGGTTACTCCTGCATCTGCACTCAGGAACCACTGCTGGCGGTGCTCAGGGGACAATATTCGATGCTGGGATTTGAACCTGGCTCGGCCATGTGCAAGGCAAACGTCCTACCCGCTGTGCTATCGCATAGCTCCAGCCCCGACAATGACAGATTTTAAAACAATTTTTTATTCTCTTATTTTGAGGGGCGGAGGTTTGGGCCACACCCACTGGTATTCTGGGAGGATTCCTGACTCTGTACTAAAAATAACTCCTGGCAGTGCTTGGGGGATCCTATGTGGTACCAGGGATCCAAACTTGGGCTGGCAGAAAGCAAAGCAAGGGCTTTAGCTGCTGTACTATGGTCCTAAAAAAAAAAAAAAAAAAAAAAAAAAAAAAAAAACCTTGGTTTTGGCCCACACCCACTAGTACTCATGGAACCATATATGGTGCCAAGGACTGAACCTGTGTCTGCCGCAGCATCCTACGCATCCTTCAGTCTCTCTAGCTCTAAAGCAAACCTTTCAAGAGCTGCAGTGATAGCACAGCAGGTAGGGCATCTGCCTTGCACGCAGCCGACCCGGGTTCGATTCTGAGCATCCCATATGGTCCCCTGAGCACTTCCAGGAGTGATTCCTGAGTGCAAAGCCAGGAGTAACTCCTGAGCATCGCCAGGTGAGACCCGTAAAACAAAATAATAATATTAATGTTAATAATAATAATAATAATAATAATAAAGCTGCATGACCTGGGGCCCAAGAAACAACAGGCTGAGCATATGCTCTGCATACAGAAAGCCTGGCTCAGTTCCCAGCATGCTTTGGTCCCCCAAGCAGGACTGGGAGCAACCTCCTGATAATGGAGTTAGGAACAGCTCCAGCCCCCAGCACCTCTAGATGTGGCCCCCAAACAGAAGAAAACAAAAAGACATTCCACAGTCCCTCATGGGATGACTGTCCACTGTCCAAGAATCTGGGATAAAAGTAAATGAGATGCTAATTTCACTTTCTCCCACCAAGGACAGAACTGCACAACCCAGGGAAGGTGACAATCTAATTACTGAGCTACCTGGACAGTCAAAAAGGATGTAGTCATCCTCGACATGGCCAAGGCAGTTCTCCAGCCACTCAAAGTTATTGGCAAAGTTCTCCATGCAAAAAACCAGTCCTCCATTGGGACCGAAGCGCAGGGAGCCTTCCTCCATCACATCATCCACATTGATCAGTTCCCGGATGTCTGCATAGAATAAACAGGAAATAAGTGCCCATTCCAAAATATTTACATTCACTAGTAATTATTACAACTGTGACTGTATCCGAAAAAATTGAACAGGGGCTAGAAAGAAAAAACAAGAAACAAAAACAAAAAGACACCAAACAGGGGCCTGAGGAATAGAACAGCGGGTACTGCCCTTGTCTTGCCTGTGGACAACCCAGGTTCAATCCTTGGCACCTTAAATAGTTGCTCAGCCTGACCAGGAGTGATTCCTGAGCACAGGTCCAGAAGTACTGAACATAGCTGAGTGTGGCCCAAACCCCACCCCACCCATCAATAAAAGAAAAAAAATAAAACAAATAAATTGCAGTAGTCAAGGGATCAGTCTGAACGAAGTTTTCAGCTTCTGTGCCTCCCCAGAAGCAGGGGGCAGCACTCACTCCCTCAGGGTCCCCAAGGAGAGGGAAGGCTGCGCCCTGGACTCACCAGCCATCACATCATAGTTGAAATGCTCCGCCGCGGGGTCTAAGTTCACCACCTGGACAGAACGGCCGAGGGCTTCACAGAGCTGGACCATGGTGGCACAGTAGGTGCTCTGTGGACCGGGAGGCAGGAGGGGACAGAGCTTCAGGCAGACCCAACACCACCAGACAAACCCCCACAGCCCCTGGTCAGTGTCTGCTGAGGCCCAAACTAAGCCTTAATCCCCGGGACTGGGCATCAGGGAACACCATGCAGTGCAGATCCAGCCCTACCTTGGCCACACTGACCTCGGGCCGGCGGCCTCTTCCCGGCCAGTGTCCTTATCCCTGGGAGATGGTCTCCTCACTGCTATCAGGTGCGCTAAGTATGACTGAAAGGGAAGATTTCTCCCCCGCCCTTGATTTTGGGGCCACAGCCAGCGGTATTTAGAGGGGTCTACATCGTTTGGAGATCAAAGCCAGATTGGGTGTGTGCAAGGCCCTGCATGCTCAACCTTTCTGGATTCAATTTCTCTTTGCAAATGAGAATAGGGTCTGGAGCGTAGCACAGCGGGCAGGGAGTTTGCCTTGCACTCAGCTGACCCTGGTTCGATTCCCAGCATCCCCAGCATCCCATATGGTCCCCAAGCACCGCCAGGAGTGATTCCTTAGTGCAAAGCCAGGAGTATCCCCTGTGTAGTGCCAGGTATGATCCAAAAACAAAGGCTGTGGAACTAAAGGGACCCTGGTGTGGGGACACGGAGAGTCCAGAGAGCAGGACACTCCCCTCGCACAAGGCTGTCTCTCTTTCAATTCCTGGATCATCCTGGAAGCCTGCCAGGAGTGATCCCTGAGCACAGAGCCAGGAGTCAGCCCTGAGCACCACTGGATGTGATCCCAAAAGCAAAAAAATGCGGGAGCTCATACTCCAAAAATACTGTACCCCGTTTGACAGGATTCAAAGTAGCAGGCAACCAATCTTAGAGGGAAATATATATATATTTTTTACATACACACACATATATACTTTATATATGTATATATATACATATATATATATATATATATATATACACACACACAAGGTTCAACCTTTTACAACATGTTATTGATCCTTATTGAAGGGCTCAATGGCCCCTGGGTAGAATACACACTCTTTCCTCTAAGGATACTTTTTTTATAGGATTTTCAGAGATTTTTTTTTGTTGTTGTTTGTTTTTGCGTAACACCTGCCGATGCACAGGAATTTCCCCTGGCTCTGCACTCAGGAATTATCCCTGGCTAATGGTGCTCAGGGGACCATATAGGATGCTGGGAATCGAACCCAGTTTCACCACGTGCAAGGCAAACGTCCTACCCACTGTGCTATCACTTCAGCGCCCTGGCAGTTTTTCATATCAAGCAATACAAGAGAATAGATTCTTTGAGTTCTGCTTTGGGACAGGGATTGGGGTTTGGGATGGAACTATGCGAAATATGGTGGCGAGAAGGTGTAATGGTGGTGGGATTGGAGTCTGAATATTGAATGTAATCAAATATTGTAAAACACTTTATAAAATAAAAAAATTTGGGGGTTAGAGCGATATGACAGCTGGCAGGGCATTTGCCTTGCAAGTGGCCGGCAAGGTTCGATTCACAGCATCCCCAATGGTCCTCTGAACACCACCAGGAGTAATTCCTGAGTGCAGAGCCAGGAGGAACCCCTGGGCATCACCGGGTGTGACCCAAAAAGCAAAAAGAAATAATAATAATACTAATAATAATTTTAAAAAATGAGGGTGGTAACGAATAAGTTATTTCGCAATAAACACTCTCTGCTCTTCCCCCAGAGCCCTGGCCGCCCAGCCCCCACAAACTCCCATTTTCTTTTTTTTCTTAAATTTAATTTCATTTTTAAAATATTTAATTTTTTTAATTTTTCCATTTAAATTTTTTTTTAATTTTTTACTATCTTTTTTTTTTATTAGTGAAACACCATGAGGTACAGTTGTAGATTTACAATTTTTTGTGCTTGGGTTTCAATTATACAATGATCAGATACCCATCCCTTCACCAGTGCCCATTTTCCACCACAATGGATAATAACCCCCCCACCCCCATGCCCCCATCCCCCCCGCCTCTGTGGCAGGGCAATCCCCTGTGTTCTCTCTCTCCTTTTGGCTGTTGTGGTCTGCAAAAGAGGCATTGAGTGGCAAACATGTTCAGTCCATAGTCTACTTTTGACATGCATCTCCCCTCCTGGGAGGATCCTCCAAACACCCTTTATTTGGTGCTCCCTTCTCTATCTGAACTGCCCTTTCCTCTAGAATACCTGGCTGGCCTCTATCCTCCTGGTGCTGATCTCAGCTATTCTTGGGTACTAATCTCATATTTTGTTACTTTATATCCCCCAGATGAATGCAATCTTTCTATGTCTATCCCTCTCTTTCTGACTCATTTCGCTTAGCATGATACTTTCCATATTGTACCACTTGTATGTAAAGTTCATGACTTCATCTTTCCTAACAGCTACATAGTACTCCATTGTGTAGATGTACCAAAGTTTCTTTAACCAGTCATCTGTTCTTGGGCATTCAGGTTTCTTCCAGTTTCTGGCTATTGTAAAGAGTGCTGCAATGAACAAACAAGTGCGGATGTCACTTCGACTATACATTTTTGCCTCTCTGGGATATATTCCCAGGAGTGGTATTGCTGGGTCAAAGTGATCAAAGTAGAGAGAGAGAGTAATGTGATCAAAGTAGAGAGAAAGAGTAATGTGTAAATCATCTGCCCCATAGGTATAGGGAGGGTGTGGGATGGGGGTATATTGGGGATTTTGGTAGTGGAGAGTGGGCACTAGTGAAGGTACCGGTGTTTCATTGCATGACTGAGACTTAGACCCGACATAGAACCTAAACTTTGTAACTGCTCTCACGGTGATTCAATAAAGACAATGATAAAAAATGAAAAAAAGAGTGTAAGGAGGAGTTCATGCCCAATTCAATCAGCTAATCAGTGGCCGAATAAATAGCAGTCCACTCACATTTTTTAAAAAAAAGGAAAATAACATTTTAGCAGCACATTCTTTCAAGTGGCTGCTCCCTGCTCTCCCCAGGGCCTTGAGTTCACCACATGGACAGGACTTGTGGGAACAGGGAGAGCAGCAGCAGCCCAGAGGGGCTGCACAGAGAGCAAGCCCTGCTGCAGGGCCACAGCTGACCTGTCCTCGCTGTGATGCGCTCGGTGACATCACCGACCTCTCTTTGTGATGCAACCAGACATTCTGCAGCCTCCCCAACTGCCCCATACTCATTACTTGGTTCACTGCGGAAACGCACAGAGAGCAAACATGTTTTGCTGTTTACCAAGAAATCGTGGTTGTAAAACCCCCAAGTGTAGGACACTGAAAAGATTCAGAAACTGGGTGAGGACTCACTGGAGAACTCCCCGGAATTCTTCACGAAGACAGCCGCTAGTTCAGGTCAGCAGGAACTGGCCCGGGCAGCCCAGCACTGATGACCGTGATCAGTCTTTATCACCTCCCTGAGTGTGATGGCGCAGAAGCTGTGTATGTGGAAGAGTGTGCACACCCGGGTGTGTACGTGTTTATCGGAGAGAGTAAATTTGAGTGTGTACTGGAGATGGTGTGTGTGTGTGAGTATGTGTATTTGTGTATGTACGTGTGTCTGTGTGTGTGTTGTGAGATCATCTTGAGGGCAGCCTCTCCTACCAGGTTAGTCATCAAATCTAGCCCCCAAGGCCAGGTCACTGCTCACTGAGTTGGCACGAGGAGGTGCTCTTTGGCCAAGACTTTTCTAAACTTTATTGTTTCAATCCCATTCCTATGGGAGGCCTGTGTAGATGAAGGTCCACCAGCAGGGAGGAACTCAGAAGGGAGGGGGAAGCAGCGCTTCTGGAGCTGAGCCTTTGTGGTTCTCCCTCCGCAGAGCAGCGCACAGGAGAGAGAGACGCTCCCTCCGCAGAGCAGCCCACAGGAGAGAAAGAAGATCTTCTACATATCCTCTGGGTCCAGTTCCTCTGAAGAAAGTCTGGAATCAGCCAGCACCAAGCACAGCCAGACACCATCTAAGCAGAAAGTTGAGACTGGCCAAGGATTGTCAACTCCCCAAAGAGCACCGCGTTCAGTGCCTTGGCCTTACACATATGGCAGAGAACGAGACTCAGAGCACCAGAAGAAAACGGGTAAGAACCAAGGGGTGTGTGTATATGCACCAGTATATGGGGAATGCGAAAAGGCCTACCTAGAGGTGTCCTGGGCGCTGGTGTGGGAAAGGGGAATCACAGGCCGGAGAGCCCATTCTGGGGAGGCCTCCACAGGAAATCCCCGTGAGGTGGGCCCATGGTCTCCCCTTCCTGCTGGGCTCCCTGTTGGGGTCACCTTTGGAGAATCCATGGAAGGAGCCCTCTGGGTGACCTTTTCTCTTATTGATTCTTTAGCTCCAGCTCTGAAAGCATACTTGGCTCCGTGTCGAAGGACAGCGCCGTCAATGATCTCTCCAGTACCAGCTGCACGGCCACCCGCTGTGGCAACATTGAACCAGTTCCCAGAGGACCTAGCATGGTTACAACTGGAAGAAGCCCAGGGTCTCACATCAGTGTCTCTCTCTGGAGACCCTCCCACCAATGAGTATCTTGCCTCGGTATATTTTATGATTTTTATTCTTTGTTTTTACTTTATCTGTTATATTTTCATTTAAATAAATTGTGATTGCTACTCTTCACAAGCATCCAGTTGCATTTTTTTTCTTTTTCTTTTTTTGGTTTTTGGGTCACACCCAGAGAGCACAGGTGTTACTCCTGCCTCTTTACTCAGGAATTACTCCTGGCCGCGCTTGGTGGACCATATGGGATGTTGGTAATCGAACCCAGGTCTGCTGCGTGCAAGGCAAACACCCTACCTACTGTGCTATCCCTCCAGCCCCGCATCCAGTTGCATCGTAACAAACTTCTCATTTGTTCTGGCATTCTTGAAAAGATTCATCTAACATAGAAGATGATTCTTCTTCATGTTCCTGATATAAATAAAACACAAAATAGAAAATACATTGATTTCTCTGCAGACCCAGTATATATATACCTACTGTTCAGGCAATGCTCTATAATACCCAGAGGTAGT